CGCACCACTGCCATTCACACTCCACACAGAGGCGCAGCACACAGCACGCTCCCACACTCGGCACACTCACAGCACCAGACATAGCATCGGCACACTCAGACCACCACAGAAACGCTGCACAGGCAGGCTCGCGCAACGCCACAGGGACGTAGAGCCGACACACGCCACACCGCAGAGACAAAGTACAGACACCGTCGCACTCCCGGGAACTGGTTTGTTCAACAAGTGAGGCCAGCTGGCGCTAGCCGGCCGGTGCAGCCGACCGAGAGATCAACAGCCGACGAGCAGCCGCCGGCGCCGGCGCCCGCACCCCGCACCGCCTCCGCCCTGTCCTCCGCCGTCACGTGCGACCAACGGCGTCCCGACGCCGGAGTTTCCAAATGGCGTCCCGTTCCGTGGCCGACGGCCGGTGTCGGTCAGCCGTTCGCGCCCACGGGACCCGACCTTTCGACCTACACCACGCCCGAGCCCGCCGTCGCTCCCGGAAGGGCGAACCCAGGCCACGGCCGGAGCAGGTCGGCTGCAGCCGCTCATACCGACAAGGGCAGCACCAGCGCTCCGGGAGCTCGTGCGGGAGCATGTGCGGTGCAATGTATGACATGTGTACAAGAGACCGTCGACGTCGCTGACGGCGGGGGCGAGACCATCTTGAGGCCACAAACCGCTGCTTCACAGTCAGCGAATCGTAACTGGACATCAGCACGTGATTATACTCGTAAATCACTCGTGATGAGCTGTTTGCTAATAAATCACTCCTAAGCTGTCACGACTGTCAGAGGGTGTGAAGACCAATCACCGCACACCTCTGCACAGCATGCGGGACCCATGTAATGCAGGCCGTCCCGTGCATTACCCACTTGCCATGCCGAGGCTGGGGGAGGGGGCATTGCACCCGAACTGCGCATCTGGCAGTGATCACAGAGGCGCGGACTAGCACTGAGCGACCCTCAGTCGCCCCCCCACCCCTCGCCCAGCCCTCTTGGTGGCCCCACCCCGGGCCCGGACGAGCCAGCCATCTGATCTCCAGACGCCGCCCGCTGGAGTGAGCAGGTGGGCGGGCGGCCCCGCCTGGCCGGAGACGAGCGGTCCTTCCGCGTCCCGCCGCGTGCCGTGAGGTGCAGACCGGGCTGCGGGAGTCACGCGACGGTGTGCCAGGGTCCGCCGGCCCCCGATGGCCTTCGCCGGCGCCGCCAATTCCCCGGCCGGCCGACAGCACGGCTCCGTGCAGTGGCGTCATGCGTCCGCCCATTACCGGAGCGGTCTGTGTGTCGAGCGGTCACTGGAGCTCGCCAATCGGCGCCGCGCCGCACGAGTGTCGCACGCGGCGGCGAGCGAGCGCCGACCGAGCCGGGTACTGGCCGGCCGCGTGCCCGCGGCTCAGCTGTGGGCTGACCGGCGCCGCGCCGCACGAGTGTCGCACGCGGTGGCGAGCGAGCGCCGACCGAGCCAGGCACTGGCCGGCCGCGTGCCCCCGGCTCAGCTGGGGGCTGGCCGGCGCCGCGCCGCACGAGTGTCGCACGCGGCGGCGGGCGAGCGAGCGCCGACCGAGACGGGCACTGGCCGGCCGCGTGCCCGCGGCTCAGCTGTGGGCTGGCCGGCGCCGCGCCGCACGAGTGTCGCACGCGGTGGCGAGCGAGCCAGGCACTGGCCGGCCGCGTGCTCCCCGCTCAGCTGAGGGCTGGCCGGCGCCGCGTCGCAAGCCGACCGGCGCCGCGCGGGTCCGCCAGCCTGGGCGCAGATGACACCCTAGCCCCGGACGGCAGGGCGCACTGCCTGCACGGAATCGCGGAGGCGCGCGCAGGCGTCTTTTTGGCGTCTTTCTGCAACGCCGGCAACCATAGGCCGGAAACAGCCCACACAGACTCATCATGGCGGACGCGAGCAAAGACTGCCATACGCCAAGCCCCGGCAGAGGCCAACCAGCAGCGGACCGGCGGCACGGCGAGGCGATGTAGAGATCAGACCAGCCGGCGCCGGCGCCAATGTTACGTCACGCCGACGCTGCTACCCGCCGGGCCGCGCGCCCGGCAACAGCAGACCGCCGTCGGCAGCAGCAGGCCAACAGCACACCACCGATGGCAGGAGCAGACCGAACAGCAGACCACCGGCGACAACAGCAGGCCAACAGTAAGACCACCGATGGGATAACAGCAGGCCAACAACAGATCACCGATGGCAACAGCAGGCCAACAGTAGGGCGGCGGGCAGCAGAGAACAGGTAGGCGCTGCGATATGGCGCTTACGGCTGTCTGATAGCAACTGTTCGGCTTGTCGCGGAGCACGACGATACGAGGCTCCAAAGACAGAGGTAGGCTGTTGACTGCCAACTACACCATGAATACCAGCTGACCGTGCATTGATTTAGGTAGGCACCTGTGACATACATGACTAGTTCCGTTAAGACCTGAACCAGTTGCTTCCCGTTTCCTAGCGCCGCGAGAACACATACGCAATATGCAAGCCTGCCGTTACAAAATTAAACGTATTTTAGTTATTCAATCCAGTCCTGCACGATGAATGGAAGCAGTCCGTGACAGCTGTTCCGAGCGTAACGCATGGCCGTCGTCGGCTCATCCGACCTGTGTGTCTCCGGGTCAGAGGGCGCCCCGGCCCAGCCTGGGGGGGGTCCCCGGGCTCCGTACGGGGTCACGGGCCGGCGCCGGCCGGGCCCACATCGGCTGCCGAGAGCACGCCAACGCGCTCGGCGGGTGCCTGAGCAGCAAACCAGGCCGAACGGTGGAGCAGGCATTCAATGGATCTGGTCTACAAGAGCAGTGCGCCTAGAACGAACGGACAGTTCTGATTCAAAAACGCATACTTTGAACATTAACAAAAAGAAAGCCTGAAATATGACAGCGTTGGCGCCCTGTTTTCAGCCACACTGCTACACAAGAAGACAGTGACAATACCAAAAATGTTTTTGTTTGATAGGCTCAATCCATTAAAGGCAATGTTCAACATTTGAAGAAACGGAAGCATCCGATATGATGAAATAAACTCACTTATAAATATTGGCATACCTTTAAGTGAAGACATTTACCTTGAGTACAAAATTTCTCTTTCAAACAGATGTGTTTTTCAATCCGTCACTTTGATTACGTCACGGAACGTTTGCATGACAATAAGGTGCAGCCGCACAAGCCGTGAGAAATCGCCGCCAAAGCACTCATTGGTAGTAGTTCAGAGAGGTGGCCGTGGAGGTGCTGGAGGCGTTTGTTGAGCCAAATAGCACCATATGCTCGAGTTTGCCCCTATCCGTTATGCTCTCGCATATTTAGCCTTGAGTCTAAGGTGTTCACTTGTAATCACATAGTCTGTTGTGGCGCTGTTCTTAAGATATGCGATTAAAAGTCTTATTTCCGTTATAACCAGCACCCACATCCAGCTTCTCATATCGTGTAGCACAAAAAGTGGTTCATGGAAGACAGCATCCGACCTTCATATCCTCTACCTCGCTTCCTCCTGCATCCCCGCGACACCCCACTTATCCGGGGCAGGCTGCTTGTGTCAGCCACAAGGGAGCAGGCAGCCCCGTGGGAAGGGGGACCCCGGCCGGGTACCCAGCGCACATGCGCGGGTTAGAGGTCGGTGGTTGACCCCCCCCCCCCAAGGCGCATGCAAGTCTGCCCCGCCGTTAACCATTGTCTTTCATACCATAGCCCTAAAATGGTCATTTCTGGCCGAAAGGGCTCTCTCTGTTCCAAGCAACCAAACAACCGAATCGTGGTAAGCCCCTGAACAAACTGCACAACGTTGGTTGCCAGCCAAGTGATGAAAACCGTGTCTGGAAATCGTGCTCACGAGCGCCAGATATAAACGGCTCGGCGATCGTATTTTCTCGGCCGTAAACGCCGCATGGCCGATAGGGTGCCTGCATTTAGGTGACGTTTGTATGGCGTCGTGCATGCCTGACTGGCCTTGAAACAGTCTGCGCGTCTTCGCGGGAGTGCATCTCAGAAACTAGAGGGCTTAAAGTCTTAAGAGGAGCAAGGCTGTGGACTGCTCTCAGTGATCTTCAAAACGATTATTTCCGTTAAAAGCCCCATGCAAATGTAAAACACTCCATTAACGTTGCCTTCATAACCTCCGCCTCTTAACATGCTGACGTGCTCCACACGACAAACTAGTTGTGAATCGTGGCTATGAATTGCTCAGCTGCCACGTTCGTCCCAAAACGGGCCATGCGTTACACACTGAGGAAATGATGCTCATTTACATCAAAGACTCCTAAATCGTAGAAAAATAGCCTCACATCACAGTATGAAGCCACTTGTTTATGAGACTTTATGTCAGTTTAACAACTGACTTGTTTATGAGACGCATTTTCGCGAAAAATATGTCACTCGTTATCACTCCGAGCATCGTACTCGAGGTGCTGTTTACAATTGCAGGCCTTTCACTCCCCATCTGGGCCCGATCAACCGACCCTCCCCCTCGCCCTCCCCAACCCCCTCATCCCATACACACCCTGTCCTTACAGAGGGTCCAAGGTGACACAGCCAGAACTACTACAAATTAGACACCTTCTAGCCTGCTAGCGTCCTCACGGCCCACCTCAACTTGCACTGATTCCTGGCACGGACAGTCCTCGCCATGCCTTAGTACATATGCACACGTCCGATGCAACGCTTCCTGCCGTGCCGTGCTGAGCTGAGCTCAGCTGAGCTCAGCTGCATTGTGGCGTGATCTCTGTGTCGCAGAGTGTGGTGTAGCGTGGTGTGGTGTGGCGTGGTGTGGTGAGGTGTGGTGCGGTGCGATGTGCCGCGGTGCGGAGCAATGCGGTGCAGTGCAGTGCGGTGCGGTGCGGTGCGGTGCGGTGCGGTGCGGTGCGGTGCGGTGCGGTGCGGTGCGGTGCGGTGTGGTGCGGTGCGGTGCGGTGCGGTGCGCCGTGCCGTGCCGTGCCGTGCCGTGCCGTGCCGTGCCGTGCCGCATCAGCGGCGGCGTGCGCACTGTCTCGGCAAGGCGCGCCGGCCAGAGCGGAGCGTCCCACCCCGACTCACCTTCACGTCCGTGCCGTCCGTCGGCATGAAGTTCTCGTAGATGTAGCTGCCGGTGCGCCTCAGCCGCGACTCGGGCGAGTACACGCTGGAGCGGCTGCCGATCTGGAACGGCCGACCGCGTCAGCGACACCGCGGCCGATCGTGTCAGGGCCGAGGGGCTCGTCAGCGAGGCAGGCTACACTCCACAAATGAGCGAACATCCGTACATATGTCTGGCCTGTCGTCTGGAACAGGAAGCCATTGGCACACATGCATGTCCATTACTAGCGCGTCCTGAGCGGCAATGCAGCTTTGGACGCCAACAGCACTGCGGCAATTGGCGCGGACGGGCCGGTCAGCTGGCGCCGATCGAGCCCTGTCCAGCTGCTCCCGTCGGCGGGCGCAGGCGGACAAACACGCCGACGCCACCGTAAACACCGCGCACGGCAACAACGTCCAGGGCACAGGTGCGCCTCCCACACAACATCCATGGACATCCAGACAAAGCCGAGCAACACGGGCGGCTCCCCCCCCCCCCCCCCTCTTCCCGGAATATGTGGAAAGTTCCACTCGTGGCCGCCGGGCGGATTCGACGCGCCGCTCGGCCCGGGCCAGAGGCAGGCGGGCGGAAGGGTAGCCCGAGGAGGAGGTGGGCGGTCGATGGGGCCTCGCCAGGCGCGACACCCGACTCGGCCTCGGTTCCGGGACACGTGGGCCGCGCACCGGTTTCGTGTCGCCGGGCCGAGGCCTTGACGGCCCGGCTGGCACCAGGGCGGGGTAAGCCAGGTCCGGCCCAATCTGCGCAGTCCACTCCCCCCCCCCCCCCCCTCCTCCCCTGTCAGCTGCAGCTCGGCAGTGTCAACAGAGGGCTCCGCAGCGGCCGCTGCTGTCACCCCGCCCCCCCCCCCCCGCCGCATGGACAGAATGACGTCACCAGCGGACGGAGTGACGTCACCAGCTAGCAACGCACGCCAGCTGCCCGGCCGGCGGCCATGACGCGAGGTTTACAAACAGGGCGCTGAGCAGCAACGGAAGGCGAGCCCGCAGCGCCAGCCGCCCGGCCACGGGCATTGGCATGGGCCGCCGCCAGACTCACGCCATGAACATTTCAGCGCATGCGGCCGGAGCTGCGCTCGCGCTGGGCGCGCGTCCGACGCCGTCCGGCCGCGCGCCTCGGCGGACTCGACTGCCGGCTCGGCAGCCCGGCGCCCGCCGCGGCTCCGCTGACGGGAGGTCCGCAGCAACGCACGCTCATCACCGTCAGCTCCAGGGCACCGGGATGCTCCAGGGACGCTGGAGGTCAGCACGTGGATCGCTTTGCATAATTGACGCACAAATCGACCGCGCGGTGAGGAGTGAGGCGGGTCGGCGGATGGACGCCAGTGCGCTGACGCCGGGGACCATCACGGGCCATCACGGGACGGCCGTCTGTGCCGCTCCCACGGCACGACCTGTCCCTCGCATCCCAGCCACGGCCGTTCCCCCAGTGGCCGCCGTTCCAGCCGGCCACGGCCCCAGCGGCAAGGGCCGCGATACCCCATACGCTGAACCGAGCAGCAGAACAGCGGACACCAAAGCCAGGCACACTCACTCACCGGCACCGGGCTATCGCCACGAGTGAACAGCTGTCACGAAAATATCGGGCTGATGCGCTTTAAATGCCCCTCCGGGCGCTGGTCGAGCTTCCAGAAGACGAGTCAACACACAGCCAAACCGGTCTACATTCCAAATGCGTTTGTATTCAGAACACATGACCGCGTCTTTTTAAGCCCATTACCGTACAACACACCTGGGAGGTGTTCACTGACGCTACGCCTTGCCGCTCCTGATCCAGGAGTAGGTCTGTCAATAAATCAGTCCTCCTGTCCACAGTGGTCGCCGGGGACGTATAACGGGCTCGGCGTCAGACGAGCGGAGGTGCGCCCGCCGGCGGCCCCGGCGCCGCGTCCCCGCTCCCGTGTGTGGGGACTGCACAAGCGCGCGCCTACGCCATCCACTCAGCCACAACATGCGGCGTCCAGTCCCGACAGTCGGATCCCACCAGCGCTGATGGAGCACGGAGGGGGACGGAGACGGGATTGAGGGGAGGGGCATCGGCAGACGCACTGGCCGCTGCCGCCGCCGCCGCCCACTGGCTCGCGCAGCGTGCACCATGGGACGCGGCACAGAGCAGCGCAGCCGAACTCCTACACGAGGGAGGCCATGCAGCGGGCCGCTCAGCCGGGATACCTCAGATTCGGCCGCGTGGCGATTAAGCGTCACAGCTTGTCGCTCGGGTCAGAAAATGATCGTATTTGTGTGTCACGTCCCTGGAAAATTGTCTACAGCAATATCGCAGAAAAGTATTAGCAAACTTCCACGTTCACAAACAGAAGACTGGCAGACATGCTTGCATAAGCATAGCGTGTCACAAAAACCTTCATGGACCACAATCCTGTACAGGATGAAACACAGCACGAAGGCTGTTCACAGTTCTGGGAAAAGAGAGCCGGCTTTACCAAAGACCCAGCAACCTCCATGCAACGCGAGTATTTTGTTTATGGCCAGTGCCCGGCTGACACGGCAGCCAGGCAGACCGAGACCACGGAGGGCGCGCGCTCCTCAGTCATCCGTCGCCTCCGACCGGGCTGATGCCCCCCGGTGACAACAAGAGGAACACACACGCCGGCCGACAGCGTGACTCAGACCCGACGTTCCGACCGTCGACCTATGACATCACAGGACGTGCCGACGCCCCAGCCTCGGACGCCGCCTGCCAGAGCGCACGGTGTCTGAGGGGCGGCGCCAACACGGAAACGCTGCCGCCGACCACAACTATGCAAAACGTGATGCGATAAAAAAGAGTGGGCCAAGTGGGCCATTTTTTCGTCAGAAAACTGCATTAACGGTGGACGAAGAAGATTAACGAGTTCCGGACTGCTTTTTGATGACAGTTACGTGACATCTGAAGCTGGTGGATTGATAAATGTGCAGGCCCGACGCTGAAGTTAGACACACTTTTAAAAGCCAGAATTTAAATCACCACATCCCGACGCGACAAAATGTTCTTGGCATATGTATCCCATAGTGTAACAGTTTATTATTTATTACAGCATCGCTTCACCTAACATGACTTTTATCACACGGAGCACTGCTCACCGAAGACCCGATTCTAACCGACCTGTGGGAATATCAGCATAAGACGGATCACAGTGTGGATGCTCGCGTCTGCCTTCATCCGTAAGAATTCTGTGGGCTTTGAATGAATCGTAATAACGGCCCGACCTGAGTGCATTAGCGATCACTCTACGACAGTGGACGCTTCAGACCCCCTCCCTCCACAATAAGGTTTTTCCGGAATAAGCCCTGAAAAGCACTGAGCACGGCTTCTTTCTCGAGGAAATATTGGTGACATTTTGCCTAAAAGGACAACAATCATCTATCGCTATACACTCTAGGCGTCATAAACTGCTTTCTATTCATCTCAACGGCATGACTAACGCTTGCTTTCGAGAGGTCAGGTCATCCAGAGCCAGCCTAAGTCAAACTTCGGCCTGAGTGACTAAATTTTGTCTTTGTTAGGCGAGACGATTTAAGCTCAGCAGCGCATGTAATACACTTTTGAAAGGTCCACCATTAACGTAGCTGTCAAGTTCTTAACATAGCCAGACGAGTCAATGCAACAATTGTCCTCACCTTTTTGAACTGACGGGACCATGACAGGTCACACCTGTCGATGTTCGCTAGTGCCCACCGGATGGGCAAGAGCTTTTCTTTTCAAGAGCTTTTCAACGCCATTCTTCGCGCAGTTGTAGCTTACTTCGGTCATGAGAGAACAATAGGGAGCTAACAAGTGCTAATTTGACTCATATGAACTGATTTAACGCATCACAGGTCACATCACACACACACACACACACATATATATATATATATATATATATATATATATATGTATATATATATATATATATACACATATATATATATATATATATATATAAAGTTGTTCGGTCAAACTTATCTGGCACACTTTGATGGCAGCTTCCCAACGCCCTTTTCCCGTGACTCTAGGTTGGTTGACTTTAAAGTTCTAAGCAGGCCTTCTGAGAATCCCATGCACGGCGAATGGGCAAAAGCGTCCGAAGAGCAATGGTTGCAGAAACCGGAACAAGGCATTCTTTTAGTTAACAATACAGCAGAAGTTGCCGCATGTGCTACTGATTCACCTGGCGTCTCCAGTGCCGCCACGTGTTTTTGCCTGCGCTGTAACAATGCTGCACGGTATTCGACCGTAGCCTGAGCCATAGCCGGCGGCAGGTTCGCGCCATAAGTACTTCGTTGTCGCAGTGGCTTAGTCCATAACGTTACGACCCAAAGATGTGGTCACGTTCTGCCACTGCCACGTGGCAAACAGATGTGGGATGTCTTCAACGAGAATGCACAATAACGACTCCAGCCTATTTTCTTCATTGTGCCGGCAAACCAACAAGCCGGTGAACAACACGGGTAAACACCACGGGTCGGCAGAGCGTGCGGGCCGGCTCGAGGCTCACCTTCCTGAAGAGACGCTGGCTGCCACCGCCCGCCGAGGACGGGTAGTAGATGTAGATGTTGTGGTCCTCGGCCGACACCGGCTTCTCCACGAACGGCTTGTTGAAGGTCACGGTGCCCACCTCCACCACGTCGTCGCTCTCCATGAAGTCCCGCTCCTCTGCGAGCGGGGCGGACGGACGCGTCAGCTGTGGCGTCCGACGCGAGGATATTGATGGGACCGGGGGTGATCGGAGCGGCATAATCCTCCGTTGACCAGCGCTCAAAACCGGGACGGATGGGGCTACCGGTGGATCACAGAGAGACCAGAGCCTGAGTAAACTCTGCTGGGTCACAGGCCGGGTAAAGGCCGGGTCATACGCAAAGTGGTCTAATACAAAGCCGCAAATGCAGCGACTTGTCGCCACCCACGCCCACGTACAAAGCCGCCCCAGCACCAATAAAGCCTCTTACGCCAATAGCCGCAGTTTCGATCGGACGCCCTCTAGAAGCCGAAAAACAGCCCCATTCCGTTGAGCTTGACCGCATCGTTAGTGCCGAACCGCCGACCAATATGCGGCTCCTGCCGTTGGCCCGCAGCTGCCCCGGACACCCGGCGCCGGCCGCCGGATGAATGGACGCGTCGGCGGCGGCCCGTTTGGCAGCGGCGCGTGCCGACGGCGGCCCGTTCTGATCGATCGGCACCCTGCCGCTGCAGCGCCACCGCCGAGCTGCGTCCGCTGCCCCGGCGCAGCCCCGACCCGCCACCCCGGTGGCGCGGCCTCGCCTGGCCAAGCAGGCGCTGCAAAGGACGCGCAGCAGCCCCCGGAGATCGCGACCACCTCGCTAGCCGCCTGGGACGCAAGGTGTGTGTGTACGGGGGGGGGGGGGCGAGCGTTGAGGCCCTAAGAGCGGCAGTGACCCGGCCGGGCGCATCACCGACAGGCTCGCGGGGTGATGGACGTCGGCCGCCACCTCGCGTCAGGGACGGGCCCGTCACCGATGACAGGAGGCGCGGCCCTGAGCGCAGGGTTTGTTGACTGACCGCCGGCGTCAGGCTCGGTCCGTCTGCCGCAGCCGGTGGACGGTCGCCGGCGAATGGCGCGGCTGCTGGCCCAAGAGCGGCTGACACTCAGCTGGCGGGTTAGCGGAGGTCGCGAGGCCAGCCACCGCCTCCTGCCCGCGTCAGTGGCATCCGAACCGGCTGAGGACTTTCTCCGCTGACAAAGCGAGGCGAGGCGGGGCGGGGGTAGGGAGGGGGCGGTCACGTGCGCCTGACCACCCTCCGACCCGCATGACGCCCGCCACCGTGTAGCGAGGGTGCTGCGGTGCGGCCCCACGCACGGCCGGCCGTCCCCGCTGAGCCGTCAGCAGCCGGTCAGCCGCCGCGCCTGCCACACGCCACAGCCATCCGCTCCCCAAACAGGAAACACAGCCAGCGGTCCTTAACGCGCGGAAACGCTCCGCTCGCGTGACCGCTATACGGACCGGCGCGACCGCAGGCCCGTGCCGTTCACGCCGGCGCGGCCGCAGCGGCGCGCCCGGCAGCCGGCCGCTCTGGTCGGCGGCCGGCGGCCGGCGACCCTGCCCGTCGCGCCGGCGTGGGGCGGCCGACGCCACGTCACCGCGCCGTCCGGCCGCCGCCTCCGCAGGCCGGTCCCATACGCGGCGCCGGTGTCGGTAATGCGGTGCAAGTGGGCTGCGAAGGTCAAGAGACGATTCATGGGTGTTATTTACGTCGCGGACAGCGCTGGCACCGAGACGACGGAGCACAGCGCCGACCAGACTCGACGACGGCCGCTGACGCGCACCCTATGGGGCCAAAGCTGCGAGCGGGGTAAGCATCTTTACCGTCGGACGCATTCGTAATGACAAGGAACTGCTTGTCTTGTGCCGCGTAAGAAGAGTCGCATGACATACAAGTCCCCTTAACAGAACACTTGCCGCAGCCCTTTTGGTGAAGGGCGTCTCTGGCGTCGGGTTGTGGTGGCAGTGGTGACGAGCACACGACATGATCGTCGTCACCCGCCTCCAGCCTGCTATGCTCCCAAATTCTGTTCTATTCCGACATCCAAGCTGTTTACACTTGTCATTCTTGGGGTCCAGCAGATGATGAGGAGCACTGGTGAGTCATAACGGCGGTGGCACTACCCAGAAAAGGATGTAAATCAGGACTTGCCGAAAAGCTTTCTTGAGTACGTTCCAAGCACGATTAATTATTCACTTCTCACCAAAAATGCGCTAAGAGAAACCCTTTCAGATTGCTCTAAGCACACTCCCAGGAATAGGAGCTTGCCTTTTATTACCCCGTGTAACAGTGGGGTGGTTTGGCAGTGATCGCGGAGAAAAACAGGGAAGGGCTCGAACATTCCAGTGAGATTGTTTTTTACCACGTTTTATGGCCCCTCCCGCAGACAGTGGGGATGTAATGAGGCAGCCACTTTTCGTCTGGTCCGCGTGCACCATCTCGTACACTCCGCGCTCGGCACCTCTGCTATGCGGCATACCCGCCCTGGCCAGGCGGTCACGGTTACTGCGGCACAGCCTACCCGGCGGGCGGGCGGCGGCGCGCTCTGAGGACGGCTCTCCCTGGGTGGCGAACACCAGCGACCTCCGGCGGCTTCCGGCGGACTCCGGCAGACTCCGGCGAACTCCGGCGGCCTCCAGCGAGCCCCAGCGACCTCCGGCGGCCTCCGGCGGACACCGGCAGACTCCGGTGAACTCCGGCGGCCTCCAGCGAGCCCCAGCGACCTCCGGCGGCTTCCGGCGGACTCCGGCAGACTCCGGTGAACTCCGGCGGCCTCCAGCGAACCCCAGCGACCTCCGGCGAACTTCGGTGACCTACGGTAGCCTCCGGCGGCTTCCGGCGGCCTCCGGTGAACTCCGGCGAGCTCCGACGGCCTCCGGCGAACCCCAGCGACCTTCGGCGGACTCAGGCGGACTCCGGCGGACTCCGACGGACTCCGGCATCCCCCGGCGAACTCCGGCGGCCTCCAGCGAGCCCCAGCGACCTCCGGCGAACTCCGGTGACCTTCGGTGACCTCCGGTGAACTCCGACAGCCTCCGGCGAACCCAAGCGACCTCCGGCGGACTCCGGCGAACTCCGGTGGCCTCCGGCGCGGACTCCGGCGACCTCCGGCGGCCCCCGGCGGACTCGGGCAAACTCCGACAGACTTCGGGCCGCGTCCGTCGCCGGTCTGGGCAACGCTGGCGGTGACGCAGCGGGGGAGGGGGGGGGGGGGCGCAGCAGCGCGCCAGCTGCCAGCCCCGTATCCAGGTCAGTGCGCGGCAGGAGCCGACGGAGACACAAGCTGCCGCGGGACCTCGCCACGTCCTTCCGGGCACAGCCCAGCGGTGTCGTCTGCCGGAGAGCCGCCCCGCACGCCACAGGCGGCCGGCCACGGCAGACCCCCACCCAAGCCCAGCCACGATGCGCCCGCCTCCCCTCCCGCAGGACGCCGAGCCGGCGGCACGTACCCACGAAGTCGGGCGCGTCCCGGTCGAGGATGGCGAACCGTGGCAGATCGATGCCCTCCCTCTCCAGCAGCCGGTACACCTTGCGGCGGTCCTGCGGGGCGACGAGACACGTCACCAGCAAGCAGTCACGGCAACAACCTGTGTGGCACACTCAGCGGACCGTGCGGACGGGCCAACACCGCCGGCGGTCGGCTGTTCCCGACGCGCACAGTGGAGCGTCCGCTAACGCGTCCGGTACACACTCCGGAGGGCGAGATCAGGCACGCTGCAGCTGACTGCTGCGATCCAGGCACGTAGTCACCCGCGTTCGGGTTACGAGGCCCCAGTGCGTGCGGACGAACGGTACCACATAACCCCACGGTCTGCGACACGGACGAAGCCGCAGACGTCGCTGATAACAGAGGCCCCAGTGCAGACGGACGGACGGCACCACATAACCCCACGGTCTGCGACACGGACGAAGCAGCAGACGTCGCTGATAACAAACGTTTTGAAGACAAGCGTTCCACAGCCCAATGCCCGCAGGTCGTTGACGTTCAAAACAACTCTTATGATATCATGTCACGAGTATCGTCCAAGTTATACCGAGAAGTCCCGCGACAAACCACTGCATTCCTCGTGCGAGCGTGCGGCGCAGCACCGTAACCAAGCAAATATACATCCTCTTCTGTAAACGTCACCGAGCTTTGGGCTATAGGGGATTGGGACCAGCCGGTGTGAATCCCTAGGGAGCTGCAGCCAGCCGCTGTGCCGGCGGAGGGCCCACCAGCCGACGGCCCGGCGCCCGCGGCGACGGCGGCCTTGCCGCGGTCCCGCCCCGATGGCCGAGTGACGGCGTCATTAGCCGTGCCCATCGGCCGGCCTGGCGCCGCGCCAGCCCGCGGCCGGCCGGCGCACCGCAGCCGGCGGCGGCCAGCGCCGAACGATCGCACGCACGCCATTCGGAGCCGGCGCCGCGCCCCTATATCGCGGCCGCGGCAGATGACCACTTTTTGCGGAGGGACCGCATGGCAACCGGCCCTCGCGGAACGATGGACACCGCTTATTTTTGTCCCGGTGATACACGGTCGGGCAACAGCAAAAACCGGCCAGCGGCAAGGGGCAGGCCGCCGGGCCGGGCCGGTCAGGGAGGGCCGGTCGGGGCGGGCCGGTCAGGGAGGGCCGGCCGGGGCGAGCCGCCCCGACCGTGCTGCCTCGCGCAGCGCTGACAGGTCTGCCGGTGATCTGAAGCCGCGCGCCGCCGGCCGCCGGCTGACCGGCCCGACAATCGGTCCAGGTGCGTGGACGTATCACGGCCACAAACACGCAGGCTTTACGCTGGAAACGGGATTGCCTCCGGGCGCCACGCGCGAGCGCGAGCGGGTGGCGCGCGCCGCAGCGCCCGTCCGAGAACACCCCGGGCCCTCCACGCAGCGGGCAGTACGCAGCGGTCCAGCCGTCGTGACCGCCTGAGTGTCAACCAGGCACACACCGCAGCCAGGACTGTCCGGACTGACGAGACACGCCGCTCGTCCGGCAGCAGCACAAACAAACACCGGCCAACGTGTGGACGGCCCATCCACTCCGCGACGACGGCCCGTCGCTGGTGTCCGTCACCGGCCACAGCGTGGCGGCGGCCGTCGCAGCTCACCTGCAGCGCGTACTGCATGTTGAGGTTGTTGATGATGAACGGCTTCCGCAGCTGCGAGTACTGGATGGCCTTCTCCAGCGGGAAGCCCTTGGAGTGGAAGGAGATGAGGCAGTCGCAGAGCGGCCAGTTCTCCACCGGCTCCTGGAACGGCAGCGCATGGGCCTCCAGAGACAGCATCGGCAAGAGATGGCCATGGCCCAAGACATGACACGGCCCGAGCATACGCACCCGGACACCGTGCCGGCACAAGAAACATGGACCGGGCGGGGCCACGCCCGGAGACCGTGCCGGCACATGAGACATGGGCCGAGCAGGGACGCCCAGGGCCCATGCCGGCACATCAGGCATAGGCCGAGCAAGGACGTAAAGAGACCGTGTCGGCACATGCGGCATGGGCCGAGCAGGGACGTCAAGAGACCGTACCGGCATGTGAGTCATGGGCAGAGCAGGGTCGTGAAAGTATAGCGACACATGGGACATGAGCCGAGCAGGGACGTGAGACTGTAGCAGCACATGGGACATGGGCCGAGCAGGGACGTGAGACGGTAGCGGCACATGAGACATGGGCTGCCCCGCTCTACGCCTCGACGCGCTCGGGACACGCACCTCAAACAGGTTCTGGCAATAAAATAAAAACTCGCCACAACGTGGTCAGGCCACTCGCTGAATGGAACCGGACCTGACGCGGCGCAGGAACACACGGCGACGGCGCAGAAACACGCGGCGGCAGGCGCACCCAGTGTCGGCAATGGCTCCGGCACCGCGGCACTGGTTGGTTATCGCTCACAAACCAATCAATCCGAAGGTGTTTGTGAGACTCACGGACATTGGTTTGACACATGGTTATGGGGCGTAGATTGGATTTGGGACTGAGGTGAAACACCATCCATTATTCGACATGACGGAACAACGGCGAACGATGAAATCTGCAACTTGCTGATGCAGTTATTGCAATTGCCAAGCGGCTCACAGACACGTGGAGTACAAACACGAACAGTGTTCGCTAGAATTTGCGCAATTCACTAGAAGGATTGCTGCACAAGAGTAAGGGTTGCCCTGGTGTCCCTAATCAGCGTGGTCATATGGCGAAGTGCCCCTTCACTGAGGTTACCTGCAATGACACGCCTCATTGGTGGGAGGGGGAGGGATATTGGGGCATGACCCGCCGCCGTCAGAATCGCGGTCTTTTCACACGACACTAATACAGTTCCGCTATATAGTGATCAGGAATCCAAGCGGATATGTACGGCATACGCAGCTGAGATATGGTTCACTTCCACGTCAAGGGAAGCCATCATTGACAGCCCATTAATACGTTAAGATACTCGACCTATGAATACAAACTCTACCTCTAAATGGATGCGCTTTGCGTGTCTGTAGTCTGCCCATACTGCGAGGGCCTGTGAATTGGGCATGAAGTCGCCACTCTCCCCAAATTCGCCCTCCTCGTCCAAAATGTTTGTAGCCCCTGCCGTCGTAAAAGTCACGGCCCTGGCTGCCTGAATGCTCATAGAATGGGTTTGCACTCACGACACTCAGCATGCCGTGAGTAAGACGACAAAGATCACAGGGACACGCACTGACGAGACGACACAGATCGCAGGGACACGCACTGACTAGACGACACACATCTCAGGGGCACACACTGACGAGACGACACAGATCTCCGGGACACGCACTGACGAGACGACACAGATCTCAGGGACAAGCACTGACTAGACGACACGGATCTCAGGGACACGCACTGACTAGACAACACAGATCTCAGGACACGCACTGACTAGACAACACAGATCTCAGGGACACGCACTGATGCAGGCAGCTGACTGACAGCAGAAGCACACCGCGACCAATCGCCCGATATGCAATGACCGTTGTTTGACCGGTTTGTAATGCTTTCGAGGCTTTCTGGCGTGACAAATCCTTTTGAATCAGCATATGTGTATACCACATATTTCCGTACCACGCAATTCGCATGTGCGTACCAAATGTGTGTATGTACATTTGTATTGAGAGTTGATAATGATGTTTAACTAGGATGTACGTGCATGAATTAATCGATGTGTTAACGAATGGATATCGTGCATGTTATGTATGAGGTAACGTTCATGGCAATTCATGTAAAAACAGCACGCAGGCACGCATGCATGTATGCTGCGTGCATCGCGCATGTACGCACACATGTTCCACTATGCACACTGTGTTATGCATATATATATATATATACTAATATAGTATATATATATATATATATATATATATATATAATATAAACATACAATGTTTCCTTCTCGCGAACACAGCCGCAGAGGCAGCCGTGTTTGGAGGCGGGGAGCGGCGCGCAGCGAGCGCAGCAGCCACCCAGCGCCCGGCCGGCCGCGGCCGTGGCAGGCAAGCAGGCAGCGCTGACCGACGAGCAGGCAGCGCTGAGAGCGGCGGTCGGTGCAAGGGCGCCACGGCCGCCGCTCAAGGCTGGCAGGTGGGGCCCGTTCCCGCCGAGCGGCGCCGCCCGCTGTCTCGGTCGTGCGGCCAGTCCGGCCGCCGCAGTGCCGTCGTGCGTTCCCGGCCTCGCCTAGCCACGCGCCCATTTCCAGAAGCCCCCGCCTAGTCACGCGCCCACCTTCGGAAGCCCCCGCCCAGCCACCAGCCCACGTTCAGAAGCCCCGCCCGGCCACGTGCCCACATTCAGGAGTCCCGCCCAGTCACGCGCCCACCTTCGGGAGCCCGGCCCAGTCATGCGCCCACCTTCCGGAACCCCGCCCAGTCACGCGTCCACCTTCCGAAGCCCCCGCCTAGTCACGCGCCCACCTTCGGAAGCCCTGCCCAGCCACGAGCCCACGTTCAGAAGCCCCGCCCGGCCACGTGCCCACATTCAGGAGCCCCGCCCAGTCACGCGTCCACCTTCCGAAGCCCCGCCTAGTCACGCGCCCACCTTCGGAAGCCCTGCCCAGCCACGAGCCACGTTCAGAAGCCCCGCCCGGCCACGTGCCCACATTCAGGAGCCCCGCCCAGTCACGCGCCCACCTTCGGAAGTCCCGCCGAGCCACGCGCCCACCTTCCGGAGCCCGGCCAAGCCACGCGCCCACCTTCAGTAGCCCCACCCAGCCGCGCACCCACCTTCAGGATGACGTGCTCCGGGAAGATGAGACATTTGATGTACTCGAACTCCTCGAGCCGGGTCAGGATCTCCTTCATGGGCCGCGAACCCGACTTCTTTTCCATGGCGCAGATGCCGACCACCACCTGCGGATGGACAGGACCATTCAGACGATGACTAGCGCCGGTACAGGTCAGTACCAGCCCACACCAGGTCCCACCAGCAGTCGACAACGGGCCTCACCACCACCCTCCGGCGGGCGGAGAGCTCAGACTATGACTTGTGTCAGCGCGAGCGGCCCTAGCCAGGGAAGCGTCCATTGGGCGGGACCACCCCCGCGGAGGCACCCGGGAGGGCACACTGCCCGGAGCGGGACCACTCCCACCGGGGCATCTGGGAGGGCACGCTGTCCGGAGCAGGACCACTCGAGGATAAACTGCTCGGAACGGGACCACTCCCGACGAGGCGTCCGGGAGGACACACTGCCTCGAGCGGGACCACTCCCACCGGGGCGCCCGGGAGGACCGGCGAGGACGAGCGCCGGCGCCGACCTCGGCAGCGCCGGCCGCCGCCCACCCGTGACGTCGGCGTCGGCGTCCCCCTCTCCGAGGCGAGAGTCGCGCGGATGAGCGGCGCCGCACGGCCGACGATACAGGCCGCCCCCCACGGCCCGTAGACGGCCTTGATAACGTGTCCGGCCCAGGCTGGTCTTGACGGAAGGGAGAGGCCTTCAGAGCCGCCGATGAGTGATGCAGATAACCCATCTGCGGCCCATATCGTTATCCCCACCCCGTGTGACGCCTCACTAGGGCTTACACCGGAGGATGCTCGTTTCAAGAACCGTCAGGTGGTAGCAAAGATTGTGAGTGCTGTGCGAGGTTACATTACAGCTCACACTGACGGCGTTTCGTGTTCAAGGGTTGCTTGGCGAGAGCACGTTTCGGTTGTGAATGCGGGTGCTAGGTTACATTGGGGCTCACGCCGGACAAGTTTCGTCCTTCAGGGCTGTCTGGTGACAGTTATGTATTGTGAATGCGGTGCGAGGTTACATTGGGGCTCACACCGGACAAGTTTCGTCCTTCAGGGGCTGTCTGGTGACAGTATGTATTGTGAATGCGGTGCTAGGTTACACTGGGGCTCACGCCGGACAAGTTTCGTCATTCAGGGGCTGTCTGGTGACAGTATGTATTGTGAATGCGGTGCGAGGTTACACTGGGGCTCACGCCGGACAAGTTTCGTCATTCGAGCGCTGTCTGGTGAGAGAACAGTTTCTGTTCTGTTCTGCGGCGAGCTGTCGCAGGCCGTCGCATGAATCGCAGCATAAAGTCTGCGAACTCAATGCCAAATACACCATGTCAATGCGACCACATCCATATCACATGTACGGTGGGGCCGTAAGGCCCACATCACGAAGTCCACATCACTAAGTCTACATTACTAAGCCCGCATGACTAAGCCCACATCACTAAGTCCATATGACATTTCACATCACTAAGTCCGCATCACTAAGCCCACATCAATAGGCCGTCAAAGCCACCTCTGGGGCGGCCGTTTGCGGCGCCTCCGCGGCGCCCTCTACGCGTACCGCTGCCCCGACCCGCTCGCGCTCACCTGCTTGCCTTCATCGTCGAACTCATCCGGTATGGAGTCCGCCTGCGGGCACCAGTCAGGAGTCAGAGGTCAGAGGTCAGCATCACGGCCAGAGGGCGTGACACCGGCGCTGACACTACGTCACCGCACCGGCGCGTCATCTGACGCGCCATCAGTAACGGCCGACACGGAGGCAGCTGCCGCACAACGCGTGCACAGGGCGGGGTGCGGTCGGCAAACAACTACTGCCACTCGAAGCGGGATTACCGGCGCACGCCCCCAACGACGCCTCGCTGGCAGTCCAGCCTGTGATCCGGACTTTGTTGACAAGGAAGAGAAAGACTAAGTCCTGCTATCGACACTGGGACGTCGTATATGAACTTGGTATGTACCTATGATCGATCGGAAAACATCCGGCAGAATAAAGCGTCGACCCAGCCTCTGTCATAGTGGCTCAAACAAACACGTGCCGATAGTCGAGAGCCCTGAAGACGGGCCAGCCAAGCAAACACCACGACAAATATGCTGCTTGAAAGATTAATGGGGAACCACAGGTCATCGGTGTCGGGCAGCACCGTGGACACAGCTGAGCTAAGGCCAGACTCTGGCAACTCACGGCAAGATGGGGCAGAAGTGAAACACAGCAGCACACACACGGCACAGGAGCTCCTCCAGAGCCTCTACAACGGGTCCGGATTGGCGGTTACAGCGGAGGCCTGCGACCAGGCAGGCCACACATGCGCGGTACAGAAGCCGCATGCCACGCGCCGCAACCCCAGCAGCGCCCGGCGCCGGGAGGCTGTTAGAGGCACGACCGCCGGGGCCCGGCGCCGGGAGGCTGTTAGAGGCACGACTGCCGGGGCCCAGCGCCGAACGGGTGTTAGAGGCACGAACCGGGGCCCAGCGCCGGGAGGCTGTTAGAGGCACGACCGCCGGGGCCCGGCGCCGGGCGGCTGTTAGAGGCACGACTGCCGGGGCCCAGCGCCCAACGGGTGTTAGAGGCACGAACCGGGGCCCAGCGCCGGAAGGCTGTTAGAGGCACGACCGCCGGGGCCCGGCGCCGGGCGGCTGTTAGAGGCGCGCACCAGCGTCATGCAGAGCGGGCGGCGCGGGCCGGCGCCGCACCGGCCAGGCCAACGAGGCTCGGCGCCGGGCGACCCACCGCGTGACACGTGCCGCCGGCGGGCGGCCGCTCGGCCGGCAGACGTCACGCTGTCACGTGCCGGCGCGGTCGGCCTGGGCGTGCGGCCAAGTCGGCGCGCCGCTCGACAGGTGCGCGGCAGACGCAGCCGCCCCGGACGGGAATGTGACCGCATCAGGGTGACGTGCCGGACGGGAATGTGACGGGTGTCACGACGCGCCCACCTTCCCGGCGGCGGTGCTCGCGGCACAAATGCCGGAGATGGCGCGACACCGGAACTGACGCACGCACAAGCCATGAGGGGAACAAGGCCGCGAGGCCTCCGTCTCCTTGGGGCACTTCGAAGAATCGCTCGACCACTCAGTCACTACCTGCACCTGGGCGATTCGGGGGAAATGGCTCCATCAGCCGACATCATGTATAAGTTACAGCCTGGCGAGACGCGCGTATGTCATAGGCACCCGTCAAAAGACCGCCTTTCAGAATAAACCGCCTTTGCAACTCATTGCTAGGTTGCTTATACAACCATCACGGACCAGGGCCAGGAGGGAAGAGGGCCACTCTGCCCTTGAACACGGAAAATGACACCAACCCACCGCTTTTAAAAATCATAGGGCGCTATACTGAAGCCCCATAGGGTGCTGCTACGCTGGACGAAACGTCGCCGGCAAGACCGATGATGTGTTGGATTTTAACAGCGAGTGCTCCAGCTGCTGAGGTTATGTTACCCCAGATCTTGACAATCAACAACAGAGGACCCGAATAGACTGCACACCCAGTCTCTATCATCGAGCTGACGGAAGTTTGCAACAAACAATTGTACACACATCCTAACCACCGAGCTCTTAAAAGTTTGGGCGCCGCGTGAAATGCGGCCATGTTTAGTGCCAGCCGGTGCCGGCTTTCACTCCTCGAAAGTGTGAAATAACTTACAACGATCGCGATTCTAACTCACTCTCTCGCCGTCAATGGCGGCGCATA